ATCAGTAGTATGAGATGTATTCACCCAATTTCGTTTAAGGTGATGAAGGACTGGTAGTCGAATTTTCCCAAAATGACATGAGTATTAACGTGAGACTTTTACAGGAATGAGACCCAGCTCTGATGATGTCCCTCGAATGATGGACGAAGGGTCAGCCCATTTTTACCCGAAACGAGGGAGCAGGTCTCGTGGACTGCGTCAACCTGAAGCCAAACGGCTGCAGTACAACGCCATTCATCCGTCCTCTTCTGGTGAGATCGACGTACCAATCATTTCTTCATGCACTTTCATGCAAAGTGAAAGTCCCTTCAGCAATGAATTTCACTTAGCCTTACCTCCAAAGAGGCTATCCCATCCAGGACTCAACGGAATGCATGTTTAGGCTTAATCAACAATCCAACTATATTTTTCCAATTTAAGTAGAATTTCGAAACCACCAGTAAATCAGTAATATGAGATGTATTCATCCTATTTCGTTTAAGGTGATGAAGGACTGGTAGAAGAATATGAGTAGAAATGACGTTCCCATTCAATTTCACAACTTTTGGGAAAGCAAGGCTATGTGAAATCCCATGGAAACGTCAGTTCTACTCATATAATTGTGAGAAAATTCTTATACCAGTCTTTATGACTTTAAACGAAATAGGGTGGATACATCTCATAATCCTACTCGAATTGTGAGTTGGGAGAGATGTGACTTGCCTTGAATGACGCATCTGCCCCATGACTTGTAAGCTGGCCACAAAACTCACAGCTCTGGCTTCAATCCCGCTGGGAGTTCTGATGAGACCAGTTGTAACGAGGTTGAAATAGCAGCCCACTTAATTCTGAGCGAGATGGCCTTTTGCCATTCAATGCTATACCGAGACCCTGTGATCCCACTTTGTGGGAAGACTCAATTATCTGTCCTTAAATCTCCTCAACTGACCGAATGTCAACATGCTCTTATAAAGACCATTGACCAGCTAAATACTTGCACCGATTATTATGAACATTATTATGATCGGCTCCGTGATCGGCTTGGGAAAGTCTATGCC